AACTTGTCAGGCGATCTGGTAACATATAGGGTAGGTCAGAACTGTAGGGAACCTCAGAGTCAGCTCAGGACACCCCAAGACCAAGTTCTCAGCACAAAGAAATAAGGGACAAAGACAGGAGACAGACAAAGAGGGAGAAGGGGAAGGGAAAGAGGGAGAGAGGGAAGGCAGAGGAACAAAACACTCCCTTTGGATAGAGAGGACACAGGCACAGCCCAAAGGCAAATGGCAGTTAATAAAGGTAAAATGGGAAAGCCCATGTTAGAATGAGGTGTTTCATTTTAATTGGGCTTGTTAGTTAGGTGAAGCAAAGAAGGCTTTTTGTTTGTTTTTCAAGACAGGGTTTCTCTGTGTAGCTTTGTAGACCAGGCTGGTCTCCAACTCACAGAGATCCACCTGCTTCTGCCTCCTGAGTGCTGGGATCAAAGTTGTGTGCCACCACCTCCCGGCTTGTAGAGGGCTTTTGATTGCTGGATTTCAGTACTTTGATGGGGGATGAAGTGGCACAATAGAGAAGCAGACCTTGGTATCTAGCTTTAGGGATGGAATCTAAGGGAATGGGAGAAGGACAAGGCCTGCCAGAGTCTCATGTTAGTGTCCCTTCAGTAACAATCTGACATGATGGACACACACACACACACACACACACACACACACACACACCTACCTTACTCTGTGTTTTCTAATAAGAAGAGGGTTAACAGAATGAAAGTAGAACAAAGTATACTTAGCAATTCCCAGAAAGTTATTGTTACTATTTTAAGCACAATGTATCAAATTCTAAAACATTACCTAAGGAACACAAGAGTCAAACAGCAAAAACACTGGCAGACTTTTTTTTTTTTTTTTAATTTCCGTATTTGTTATAAAATCTTTACAGGAAGCAGGGTGTAGTGCTGCAAGCCTATAGCTCCATGCTTCTGGCATTGAAACAGAAAGATGTGAAATTGCCAGCAGCCAGGGCTACAAAGGGAGGGACTATCTTTAAAAAAAAAAAAAAAGTTCTCAACTTTCCCAGTGCTACAATCCTTCCCCATGCTGGAGCAACCCCCAACCATAAAAGTATTTCGTCGCAGCTTCATAACTGTAATTTTGCTACTGTTACGACTTTAATACAAATGTCTAATATAAAAAAAACAAATGTCTAATATAATATTCAATTTCTCTTGGGGTAGAGACCCACACATTGAAAACCTCTGCTTTAAAGGAAAGCACTGTTCAAAGATCTCTTACATCTCTTCCCAAACAGTTTTGGCCATGCAAAAAGCCAAGTAGTTAAGGGACATTTCAGTGGTTTCTCCCTAGCTCCAAACCAAAGGATGAACACGTTAGGCCAGCATTATTACAAAAAAAAAAAAAAGAAAAGAAAGAAAGATAAGGAATGAATCATGAAATATTTAAACTAGAACTGGAAAGGAAAGGAACGAGAGCCATCCAACAACATCAGAGGGAAGTGAAAAGTAGACACCCAAACTCTCAGCTCAGGGCCTACCGCCCCTCAAACACATGGACCAAGGTGTCTTATTTGCAACTGGCAATGTTCTGAAGGACAAAACAGAAATCAGAGAAAAATGTGCACACTATAGATTTTCTCAAGATATCTGTTTTTACATGCAGACATGCATGCAGTTATAAAACTATTAAATCTAAATATAAAGGTTTCTTGCTGAGTTATAGTTTTAAAAGCTACTTTTAAAAAATAGAACATTTCAAACTGCCTTTCATAATGTATCTCCATTTATTTTTATGCAAACATGGTAATAGCAACATTAAAAGCATTAACAGATGGCTAATCCTACCTTAAAATCTCTCATTTGAATCACATTTTGCCTTGCTTCAGTGCTCCGTTTTGTGCTGTTATGAATATTATTTAACAGCAGCAACATCCCCCAGTCAGACTAGGGTATGCTAAGAATCACTCCTGCCTGTTAGCCTCCAAAGACTTTACAGCCACAGAGGTACATGTGGATTATAAAAAAGACATTGTATGCTCACCCACACTCAAAGGTGCACACAAAACTAAGCCCTACACAGACAGACAGACACACACACACACACACACACACACACACTCATGACACACGAGACTTGGCCCTGGAATGGAATTTCTGGAGAAAAGGTCCATTCCTAAAATATTTTCTCTACACAATACTGCCTGAAGCAAATATCTGGTGGAAAAACATTAACACAAGCAACAGCTATCTATTGTATAATTAGGTCTAAACTTGAAGAAGTCTTAGGCCTGGGGGTATGTAGTTACTGGGTTCAATACACACTGCCAAGAAATAAAGATAAAAAAATTAAATGTACTGCCTGGAAGAAAGATACACTGAGTTCCTGCTAAGTTAACACAGATATCTTATAATTTTTAGATGGCATTTTTTTGGGAAGGGAGAAGAAGACAGAATCAATAAAGATTACAAAAATAGACTGGGCAGTGGTGGTGCATGCTTTTAATCCCAGCACTCAGGAGGCAGAGGCTGCCAGATCTCTTTGTGAGTTTGAGGCTAGCCTGGTCTACAGAGTAAGTTTCAGGAAAGCCAGGGCTACACAGAGAAACTCTGTCTCAGTGTGTGTGTGTGTGTGTGTGTGTGTGTGTGTTTTAAAAAGAATAAAATACCCTCAAGTACCCCTGCATGGTGGTGCACGCCTTTAATTACAGCACTAGGGAGGCAGAAGCAAGTGGATCTCTGTGAGTTGGAAACCAGATTGGTCTACACAGCAAGTCCCAGCCCAACCAGAGACATATGGTGAGACCTTGTCTTATAAGTGAATATGCAAACCCAAAAAGGGGCGGGAGCAGGGTGAGGCAAGGGGGATGAAAGAGGAGGCACTACAGCAAGAAGTGCTTGACCGCTGTGCTGTAGTGAGTGTCTAACCTAAAATACGCAGCGTCAGACACTTCAGCCACAGTCTGACCGGCTCACAGCCTTAACCAGTCATAATTGGCATCACATGGCCCTACAGCACCCCTTTCCACAGCTAACTAGACTAGCATGGGGCACCCTTGCCAGAGGCCTTCTACAAAAAGAGGCCAGAGAGAAAACGACAGCTGAAGAATTCACGAAGAGCAGAATGAAAACAGGTTAGGAAAGTGAGAATAAAAGTTACTCACAAGAGCACGCACCTAGGGCCAGCAGCACAAGGAAGCACACGAAACATCAGCACAGAAAGAGGTTCTCGGCAGCATCGATCGGGATTCCTGCAGCTTTCCAGCTCTTTCATGAGAACCCCTTTCTACCAGGGTGGATAAAGAGAACTACATAACCAGAGGGCAGGAAACAAGGACACAAATAACCGCATAAAGGCGCTTATATCTTATTCCCCAACATTTAAATGGATGCTTCAAAATCCTTAGCATTGACAGTCTGAGATCGTGGAACTGATCAATTCACTATTTTAGACACAAGGGAAGGAAAACTGCAGTGGCAGCAAAGCTAAGGTCATACAGACGGCGGCAGAGCAGGACAGGGACCAAGGTGTCCTTCTCTGTAGTCATTACTGTCTCCTCTACTATACATCAGTGGAAACATTTTCTTCAAAATGAATGTTTCTGCCACACATTTTAAGGCTAGTCAGACATGTTTATATGCATGTGCCTTCTTCCACAAACTCCATTCATTAACTATATTACTCTTCCAACAATCGCTAGAGGTCTTCATTTTTCCTAGAGACATTACACAGTCATTAATTCATCAGGCCCACCAGCACCACTGTCTCACTACAACTGGACATCCAAAACAATACTCAATTATTTCACATACTGCACAAGAGTGTCCCCACTCAGAGCAGTCCATACAGGGCAGGCATCTTAAAGGAAAAGGATATCCAGTTAAAGAGTTCCTTGAAAAGCCATCACCAATGTCGATGAAATCGAGAAAGCGGTGCAAAAACAATTGGTATCAACAGGACTAACGTGGACTAGGTCCCCCGCTAGATTTATACCATTCATTCAGTGTGTCCCAAGAACAAAATCCTGAGTGGGATAAAGACTGTGAACCAGGGACAAGTAGTTCAGAAACTTGAAACAGGGTGAAGCGGCAATGGACTTGGACACAGACTGACAAAGCCTTTAATCTCCTCTTAAGAGTTTCCCACAGGACAAGGCTCCAGAGGTGGGGGAGGTGAGCTAGTCCTTGTACAGCATCTCCAGAGCTGATGATCCCCAGGAAAGCAGAGTCATCAATTTCCTTAGAACATTCTCAGCCATCTTAAGAGGGCGGAAATTAAGAAGCCAGCATATTTTAAGACAGTGGTTCTCATCCTCCCTAATGCTCAGACCCCTTAAGACAGTTCCTCGTGTTGTGGCGACCTCCAACCATAAAATTATTTTCTTTGCTACTTCCTAACTGTAATTGTGCTACTATTATGAATCATAATGTAAAATACCTGATATGCTGATGGTCCTGGGCAACCCCTATGAAAGGGTCCTCCAACCCTCAGGTTCAGAACCACTGTCTTAAGAAATTTTTTGCATGTAAGGTGAGTGAAACAAAGTGAACACACAACTTAGATTATTAACGATTGCACAAAAGAACACACACACAAGTGCATACCACTTATCACATTAAGTGACGAGTTCATTGTGTAATAGTTATTATTCATAAATCTAACAAAACTATGTGTGATCTCCTATATCTGCTAGATAAAAAAAAAAAAAAAAAAATCGGGCTTGGAGTCTTTGATTAACCTGATGGAAACACCACCTAAGGTTCGATTCCCGACAGCCTGGCCACTCAACCACCGCCCGCACTAGACAGCAAATGAAGTTCCTCCCCCACCAGCCTCCCAGGAGAAGAGTTTGGCAGATTTAAAGGGCATTTTATGATCCTCCTCCCAACTGGAGAACTGAGCTGTCAAGAACGGATTACAAGTGAGCGCGGCCGCGGCGGCTGCACATCCCCATGGAGAGCTGCCGAGCCCGGCCCGGGATTCTCGGCTGTCACAGCGGCAAAGCCCGGGCCGCGAGGACACCGCCTCCCGCCTCCCCTCCGCATTACCTGGCCCGCGGGCTTCCTGTCAATCACGCGGGCCGCCGCCGCCCGGCTCGGGAACTGGAGCTACAGCCACAGCCCGCCGCGAATGTCAGCGGCACCGCAGCAGCCTCCGGGTCGGGATGGAGGTGGGACCCACAGCGCTCGGCGCCCGGGGACTCTGCTCCCCGTTTCCGCTCCGCCTCCCGGCCGCCCTTCCCCCGCTCCTCGGGCAGGGCCCGGTGAACGCGGCATTGTGGGAGATGTAGTCGGGAGGGGGGGGGGTTGCAGAGAAGTGGCACGTGCTCTTAGCCCTGGGGCTCCGGCTGACGCCGTTGCTTGGCAACCAAGAGGCGGAGCAGTTGCAACACTACTACAAAAGACTCAGCCTTCCTGATCGTGATCTGAAATCTCCCCGTCCTACTACCGACCTTCCACCAGAAAACCAACCCTCCAGATGCTCTTGGCTGAATCTGGGCATCCTACTGTTGAGAGTGCAAGCGTGCCCATTGTTGTTCCTGAAGGTCCTTACACAGTGCAAAAGGATAAAAACGTAAAAGGACTAAAGATTAATAGAAATAAAGCATCCTTTGATGAGAATGCCAGAGTTTGATTCCCAGCTCCCTCACCAAGTAGTTCATAATCTCCTGACCCCTCTTCTGGCCTCTACAGACTAGCACACTCACACAATTTCATAAATACAAATAAAGTATTTTTAAGATATTCTTTACACTTATGGTATAATTATGTATGCACATAGCAAATACAAGACAAATTGTAGCCAGGCGGTGGTGGCATACACCTTTACTCCCAGCACTTGAGAGGCAGGTGCAGGTAGATCTCTGTGAGTTCGAAGCCACTCTGAGCTACAGAGTGAGTTCCAGGACAAGCTCCAAAGCTACACAGAGAAACCCTGTCTTGAAAAAACAACAACAAAAATGTTACAATAACAAAAATTATTACAATTAAGGAGCGATCAAAAAGTTAATACTTTTTTTTAATCAATATCTTCTGAACTCCACAGGCACCCGGCACATACACTCTGGCAAAACACTCAGACACATAAAATAAGACAAATCTTTAAAAAATAAAAACTACAACCATAAGAAAAAGATTCAAGAAAAAGGAAAAGATTCAAGTAGATGCAACACTAAGGAAGAAAAATAGCTGTTGTATACTGGTTATGAAAGGTGTAACAAAAAGAATTTCTATTTAATTTGAAGACTATTAAAAAGTGTTAAAATGACAAGGATGTCTGTTCAACTATGTTCATAGTAGCATTATTTGTACTAGTCAGAACCTGGAAGCAACCTAAATGCCTCTCAACTGAAGAATGGATGGAGAAAATGTGGTACACTACACAATGGAGTACTACTCAGTAGGAAAAAAACAACAGAATCTTGAAATTTGCAGGCAAATGGATGACAGGAGAAGAAACCATCCTGACTGAGGTAACCCAGTCACAAAAAGACAAACATGGTATGTACTCACTCATATGTGGATTTTAGACATAGAGCAAAGAATCACCAGCCTACAATCCACACCTCCAGAGAAGCTAGGAAACAAGGAGGACCCTAAGAGAGACATACATGGTCAGCCACAGAAGGAGAAAGGACAAGATCTCCCAAGCAAACTGTGAGCATGAGAGGCAGGGAGAGAGAGTTAGGAGAAAGAGGAGGAGAGAGGAGGACATGAGGGAGCAGGAAGATTGAGCCAGGGGAATAATAAAGGAGAGCAAGAAAAGAGATACCCATAATAGAGGGAGCCATTATAGGTTTAAAGAGAAATCTGGTACTAGAGAAATGTCCAGAGATTCTACAAGGATGACCCCAACTAACAATCTAAGCAACCAGGGAGAGGACACCTTAAATGTCCTTCCCTGATAATGAGATCGATGACTACCTTATGTGCCATCCTAGAGCCTTCATCCAGTACCTGATGGAAGTAGAAGCAGACACCCACAGCTAAACACTGAGAGGAACTCCTGGTCCAATTGTAGAGAGGGAGGAGTGATGAGCAAAGGGGACAAGACCAGGCTGGGGAAACCCACAGAAACAGCTGTCTTGAACAAGGGGGAGCTCATGGACTCCAGACTGATAGCTGGGAAACCAGCATAGGACTGACCCAGCCCCCCTAAATGTGGGTATTAGTTAGGCGGACTGGGCAGTCTATGGGGCCCCTGGTAGTGGATCAGTATTTATCCCTAGTATAGGAATGGACTTTGGGAGCCCATTCCACATAGAGGTACACATGGGGGAGGGCCTGGGCCCTGCTCCAAATGACATGGCAGACTTTGAAGATCCCCCATGGAAGGCCTCACCCTCCTTGGGGAGCAGAAAGAGGATGGGATAAGGGTTGGGGGGCAGGGGAGGAGGGGAGAGTGAGGTATCTGGGATTGAAATGTAAAACAAGCTTATTTCAAATGTAAATAAAAAAGTATCATAAAAAGTGTTAAAATGATGGATCTTACTAATCTGAAACTCCATTACCTAATATGGCCATTCCAAATGGCCCCTATGGGTTCATAGGTTTAAATACTTGGTCCCCAGGTGGAAGAGCTGGGAAGGATTAAGAGGTGTGATGAGATATGCCGCTGGGGTAGACTTAAGGTTTCAAAAGCCTCTGTGTGTTCTTTGCCTCCTGCTTGCAGTTCCCGATGTGAGTTCTGGGCTGCCACACCGCTCCCCCACCCCCACACTCCACAATGGATACAACCCTCTGGAGCCACAAGCCAGATTAAACGTCTTTCTTTATAAGTTGCCTGGGTCATTGTGGTGTTTTGAATGAGAAGGGTCCCCATAAGCTCGTATGTTTGAATATTTGGTCCCCAGTTTGAGAAATAATTTGAGAAGGATTAGGAGGTGTGGCCTTGTTGGAGGATGTGTGTCACTGTAGATGGGCTTTGATGATTTCAAAAGGCCATGCCACTCCCAGTTTGCTATCTTTCTGCATCATGGTTGTTGTCTCTGGATGTAAGCTCTCAGCTCCTGTGCCAGCACCACGCCTGCCTGCCTGCCCGCCCGCCCGCCCGCCCGCTGCCCTGCCTCCTACTGTGATGATCACAGTCTCACCCTTGACACTGTAAACTATTCCTGTAAGTCGCCCTGGTCATGATGTCTCTTCACAGCAATACAAAAGTAACTGAGCCTGTCTTTGGTGTTTTATCACAGCAACAGAAACCCTGACTTAAGCTTGGTGGTGGTGGCTCATCCCTTTAATCCCAACAGGTGGATCTCTGTGAGTTCAAGGCCAGCCTGGTCTGCAGAGTGAGTTCCAGGACAACCAGAGCTACGTAGAGAAACCCTGTCTGGGAAAATAAAAAAAGCAAACAAACTCTGAAGACAAACAATTCTGTTTCCAGACAAGAGAAGGAATTTTCAATAGCCACATGGGAAATGGATTAACTCTTTGTCCTGACTCCAGGTCACTGATCTCTGGACTCTACAGATATCTAATAGGTTCTGTTTGCCTCCTGGGTTCTGTGTAAGGATTAATTGCATGCCCCTTCCTTCCTTCCTCTCTCTTTTCTTCTTTCTTCATTATTTGCATCTCTGTATAGGTATGTGCACATCGATACTGGTAACCACAGATGCTGGAAGAGACAGATCTCCCTGGAGCTGGAGTTAGCAGTGGTTTTGAGCCACTCGCCTGAGTGCTGGGAACCAAACTTGGGTCCTCTGGAAGAGCAGTGTGTACTCTTTACTGCTGAACCATTTCTTCAGCCCCTACCATACGCTATTTTCAATTGCCCCTGCCACCCCCTTTCACTCCTACAACCTGGCAGACAAAAAATACATTAGTTTGGAAGATTCAAGAGATTAAAAATAATAATTGTCATCTTTATTTCACTTTTCAGCTTAGAAACTATTTTCTTAGAAGTCATGGGATGTATTGCCAAACTCATCCCGCTCATCTGTCAAAGACACACTAAAATCAAAGGAAAGCAATTAGCTGCTCACATGAATTTCATCAGAGTGGAAGCCATACCTTTCCAGAATCCAAGATGAAAATTACAGTCAATTAGAATCAGAGTCCTGTTAGGAAGTGCCACCTTCCTCAGCAAGAGGACAAGTGGTAAGAAAAGCAATACTTATGTGTTTACTCATGTGGTCTCTGAGGAAAAGAGCCAGGAGGGGGACTGGGAAAGGAGGTAAAGTTGGAGTTTTACTGCCATTCTTGTCTTGTTTATTTGTTTGGAATTGAAACAGGCTCTTGTGTAGCGCAGGCTGACCTCCAATTTTCTATGTAGTTGATGATGACACGGGAGCTGGGATTGTAGCTAGCACTAGCAGGCTTTAGTTTGCTTTGGTACTAAGGACTAAATTCAGGTTTCATGCATGCTAGGCAAGCACTCAACCAAATGAGCTGTATCCTCAACACCGTTCTTGTGTCAAGGCAAAGCATGGTGGGTGTTCGGGCCACAGCTCTCAGATTTGCAGATACTAGGCAAAGGACTTGGGACGAAACATATAGGGCATCTGTGGCTCTGTCCTGAGGGTAGCAGTGGTTCTTTTCTGAAAGGTTAAAGGGTCATGTGGTTGCAGAGAGACAGGGAAGCTTGTGACTGGTTTACAGACCTGTAAACCAAGGACTCAGAAAGCTGAGACAGAAAGATCACAAGTTTGAGAACTACCAGCATTACAGAATGATTTCAAGGCCGACCTGAGGGATTTAGTAAGACCCTATCTCACCAAAAAAGTTTAAAAGAGGGCTGGAGAATATCACTCAGTGGTAGAATACTTGTCTAGCATGGGCAAGGCCCTGGCTTCAATCCCTAGCACACCTACACCTACACACACACACACACACACACACACTGAAGTAAGGCTCCCTGGACAAGGTCAGTATTGAGAAAGCTGAAACCTGGACCACTAAACTACAGGCCCAGGATATATGTTCCATTTTTCTCATAGCAATTCCATCACAGGAGTGTGACAGACTAGAATGGAAGGGGCCTGGCCATCCCCTTCTTGAAAATCTTGGATATGATGAGAAGTACCTGCTATCTATGAAAAAACTATTAAAACAGATGCAGTTATTATTGTATTTGATAAATCCCAAGGATTAGTTTGTACATTTATAATTAAACTTATAAGGGCTGGAGATATAGCTCAGTGGTTGAG